TTTATTTTTGTTGAGTTTCGTCAGTTCTCCATATATTTTTGTGATCAGTCCTTTATCACTGCTTTTGTGTGAGAAAATGTTTTCCCAATTAGTGGGCTGTCTGTTTTTTGTAAGGTGTCTTTTGCTGTACAGAAACTCTTTAACTTGATGTAGTTCCATCTATTTATCCTTGCCTTCACTATTGTGGCATTGGGTGCTGTATCTTTAAAGATGTCGCTGAAGTGTATGTCGTGTAGTGTTTAGCCCATCTTTGCTTCCGGGTATTTTATGGTTTCCGTTCTTATGTTTAGGTCTTTAATCCACTTGGAGTTGACTTTTGTGACTGGAGTGAGGCAATGATCTAGTTTCATTTTTTTGCATGTAGCTTCCCAGTTTCTGCAGCACCATTTGCTGAATAAACTTTCTTTGTTCCATTGTATCTACAGAACATTTCTTAGAGAAATAAAGAATACCCAAGTAAATGAGAAAACCCATGTATGCTGATAGGAATACTTGAGAAAGTTGGAGGACTCCTATTTCCTGATTACAAAACTTACTACAAAGCTGAGTATTTAAAACACCATGCTACTAGCCTAAATACAGATATATAAGCCAAAGCTGAGTATTTAAAACACCATGCTACTGGCATAAATATAGATATGTAAACCAATGAAATAGAAGAAAAAAAATACAGAAATAAGCCATATACTGTGGTCACTTTATTTTAGCAGGGACTCCAGGACCACTGACTAGGGAAAGAATGGTCTCAAAAAATGATGTTGGAACAACTCAATAGCTACATGTTAAAAAATGAAGCTGGATCCTGACCTTGTGCTACTTATAAAATTTAACTCAAAATGAATAAGTGATCTCAATATGAGCTAAAACTATAAGATTCTAAGAAAACATAGTTATAAATCTTTGTCACATAGGGTTAGGCAGTGATTTCATAGGTAATAATGTTTAAAACACAAGCAATAAAAGATAAAATAGGGCTGCCTCGTCCTACAATTGAACTGCACCATTCAGCAAGAGATAATAATAAAAAAGCTGAACTTAATCAACTTTAAAACTGCATGAAAGTAAAAACACATCCTACGTAATGGGTGAAAATATTTTCAAACCATGCATCCTACAGTAGTTCTAGAATCCAGAATCTACTGTGAAGCAGAACTTAGCAACAAAGGACAACCTGATATAAAAAAGAAAAAAAGGGGTTGGGGGAGGGACAAAGGACTTGAATAGTCTTTTGGAAAGTCATCTTTTCACAGAAGATACCACAGGTGGCCAACAGGCACATAAAATATTGCTCCATGCCATTTGTCATTAGGGAAAAGAAAATCAAAGCCATAATCAGATGCCTCTTCAGATTCACTGTGATGATCGTAAAAAAAAAATAGGGAAAATCATTGATGTTGGTGACAGTGTGGAGAAACATTCCTCCTAAGATTGTAAAATTGAGCAGCCACTGTGGAAAATAGTATCATGGTTCCTCAGGTAAACATTAACATGTAATCACGATGTGAATCAGCAGTTCCACTCTTTGATACAAAAGAAATTGAATACAGGTGTTCAAACAAAAATTTGCAAATGATGTTCATAGGAACACTATTTACAGTAGTGTAAGTGGAAGCAAGCCAGTGTTCATCAACAAATGACTGGATAAATGAAATGTATATCCACAAAAAAGTTCACAAAATGGAATGTTCTATTCATAAAATGGAATATTTTAAAACTATAAGATGGAAGTATTGACATACTACAGTGTGGATGAATATTGAAAACATACTAAATCAAAGAATCTAGACATAAAGGTTCCATGTTATGATCCCATTTATATGTTGTATGTCCACAATAGGCACATCTATAAAGACTGAAAGATGAGTGGTTAGAAGAAACCGAGGTAATGAAGGAATGCTGAGTGACTCCTTAATGGAGACAGAATTTCCTTTTGGAGGGATGAAAATGGTCTGAAACTGGAGATTGGTGATAATTGTACAACCTTGTAAATATATTAAATTGTACAATGTAAAATGGTTAAAATTATGAAGTTGATGTTAGATTGATCTTCAGTTAGACAATGTTTTGGAAGTGGTGTAAAATAGGGGAGAGAAGTCACTTGAATACTGTCTTCTGACACTAATCATAGTTAATCAAAACTAACATAGCTAACATATTTACATTCATATTTGTAGTTGGGCATATGTCTTAGTTTCCTAAGTCTGCCATAACAAATTACCACAAAATAGGTGTTTTAAAATAAGAGAAATTTATTCCCTTCTACTCTGGAGGTTGGAAGTCTGAAATGGTGTCTGTATGGTTGATTCCTTTCAGAAATTCTGAGTCTATTATGGAACTCTCTAAGCTTCTAGTAGTTGCCAGCAAATACCCAAATGTGTCGCTTGAGTCTCTACCTCTTTCCTCATATAGCTTCTCACATAGTACATGTGGCCTCATTTTAATGTGAGTAATTCTAATAGCCAAACACTGCTTTTAAATAGGTCTCATTCTGAAGTTCTGTGTGAACTTGAGTTTTAGATGACTATTCAATCCATTGATTTTTTTAATGTGCTTGGTTTTATGTTATATAAGTAAATTTTGTAAATTTTAAATTTTCTAGATACCATAGAGTCATTTGAATAGTTGTTGGTATTTCATCAAGTGACTTAATTCATAATTCATACTTTTTTATATTGTTAGCATTTTGGTGGTTACTAATTATTGCTATATTGTGAATAATTATGGCACAGATTTCTAAAATTAGAATTAGTAAGGTATGTGAATATTATAACTTACACTTTCAGTAAATATTTAATCTGATGTCTAATTCCTTTCTTCATACTTATGTACTGAATACTGTCTTATGTTTTATTTGAATATAGATTAATAGTATTACTTCTCTAACCTCCTTTGGTCTCTTAGAACAAAACATTATTCGCACCTTTTAAAATGTTAAAGGACTGGTGTCCTTTTTTACCTAGTACCTTTGTGTGAATGCCAATCTGAATGTTCACAAATCACTATCCTTTATTTCTAGTTTATGAGATATGAGTTAAAATTACTACTTTATTTTATATACCAGAAATGGAAATACTTGAATTATAGTAAGTACAAATTAAATATATGAGTGTATCTTTCCATTTTCTCTATTTAGCACCGATGTCTTTCAGAGACTGGGCTCAAATTCAGCTCTTACTTTTTCAAAAATAGCCTCGTTTGAAGAAGCATTTATATATCTTCAAAAACTAATGGCCGCTGTAAAGGATATTCTTGAAGGAATTCAGAGGTAAGCACAAATTAATTTTTAAAATCTCATTTATTTTCTCTTCTAGGATTATCAAGCTTTTTCAAAGTTGCTGGGAGGCTTCCAGCAGGTGCTATAAACTAATAGGTTTTTGATTGGATTCTTCCCCCTCTCTTACAGAAAAACCCTTTCCTAGTTTTGTTCCACAGAAATGTTTTCAGGTTTTAGAAAACAGTAGAACAGATTGTAAGCTTTATAAGGAACTTTATTTTCTTTTTAGAATAACTGTAGGTCCTAGAACAGTACCTGCCTGGCACATAGTGGACACTCTGGGATTATTGTTGAATATGCTAGGGTAATTGTCACTGTCTTTTTAAAATAAATAAATGTTAATATTGTTAATGTGATTGAGCCCCTCCGATACAGTTTCCCAGAACTATAAACATAAAAGTTTAAGCTATAGTTTTAATGCTTGAAGACTTTCACATAGAGATTTTAAATATTTGTGAAACACAGAACAAACATAGCCCGAAAATGCTATAGAATGGACTGTATAGCATGCTTATCACATGAAGTCACATGTTTCTTCCTGTGACACATAGAAGAGGCCAAATCTAATCTTACCTTTTTTTGGTCTTTATACCAGAATTGCTAGTGAGGCAGCTTGGTAATAGAAGAATACTGTTCTTTATCAATCAGCTCACTACAACAAAATTGATTTGACATTAGTTTGTTGAAGTTTGAGGAACTTGAATTTTTAAAACAACAGTGTAGGTTTTTTTTCTATTAAGGGTTTTGGAAATCACCTCATTGTTAATGCACAAAGCTTTTATACCTTCTATTGGATCATCATCAGTTAAATGATTCCTACAGCCAAAATTACCAAACTGCTAGCCATTCTTAAGTTAAATGAATTAAAGATATGATTGATTCTAGGGCAAGTAAAACATTATCTCTAAATGCAAATTCCCTTCTTCCCCCTTCCCCCCTTTTTTATTTAGAGCATGATTAATAAGAATAGCTCTAAGAGGGAGAAATATTCTATTCTGAGTTGTAATTGTGTAAAAAGTGTTGCACATCTAGGTTGCACTAAAGCCATGTTTGATAAACACCCTTTGACAGGAAGTAAGGATGTAAATCTACATTCAGTCACTCAGCAAACATTGAGCATCATTGTTGCTTGGCATTATACTGGGATCTGGGGTATCAAAGGTACCTAAGATGCAGCCCCTGACTCCAAAGAACTTCAGAAATAGTGCAAACAGTCATGTTAAACAGACAACTATGATAAAGTTAAGAGGAACATATACACTAGAAGCAGGGAGAGTTTGATACAAAATGAGGTTGGATCCAGGTGGAAGGGAATATCTTCTAAACTATGCAGAGCAATTTCTACTTTAGGCCAGTATTTCATGTATTCAGAACCATTAATTGTGAGCTTTGATGACAGCATTTCTGGTCCACTACTGCATACTATACCATCCTTTTGGAAGTGTACTATATATATCATTAGCATATTACTGGACTTCATATAAACTTTTGCTATAGAGAACTCTAAAGGTTTAAATTTAGGAGTTTTAAACATTGACACCTTCATCCTCTGGTCCCAAGATTCTGATGTAACTGGTAATCTGAAAATATGTGTAATATGAGGATCCTAGAACTTCCTCAAATAATTATAATGTGGAGGCAAGGTTGAGAACCACTAGCCAGTATGCTTAGCCATTGCTTGTCAGAGCGTGGTCACAGAACCAGCATTGCCATCACCACTTAGAACTTGTTAAAAATGCAAATTCTCAGCCCCACTGAATCCAAAATTCTGCAGGTATGGGCTGGCAGTCTGTGCTCTCCCGGTGAAGTGGTGAGCAATAAAGGTAAGCACCACTGAAGTATTTTTAGCTTTGGTGGCTAGTTATAATCATCTCGGGGCTGTAATTAGAAAACAGTGGCTGACCTGGACCTTATCCAGAACCTATGAAATCTCAATTTCTGGAGTCGGTACTGGACATACCCATCTTTCCAGACTCCCTCTGTGATTCTCATGTGAACCAGGGGTGAGAAGCTTTAGCATGCTCTGCTAATGTAAGACTATCTAGAAAGAAGTACTGGAATTTTAAGGCTTATCCAATTTTGTCACTCTCATTGGTGAGGACATATAATTCCAGAAAGATATTAGGCACTGCCACTTTTTAGTGTGTGGTCTGGGATGGCTAACAGTTTGGTAATTTTTAGCTCTAGGAATCTTTTAACTGATGATGATCCAATAAGAGGTAGAAAAGCTCAGTTGTCTTTGCTTTGAGCCTCAGTCTTCACCTCTGTAAAACGAGCAGAATGCCTTACCAGAGAATTTCCCAATGTTACTGTGCTTTCAAAGTCAGGTGTTGGTATTGCTATCCAAACCAGTCATTCTCAAATAAGTTTACTAAGTTGTTGGAGGACATGTTAAAACTGTGAAGTTCTAGATCTTACCTAAGATTTAGCCAAAATCGTATCTGTAGGTGTTTTGTAGAACAGGGAAGTTGTATTTTTTTTTAACATTAAAAAAAAAAGATTTATTTATGTATACAGAACTGGGGTATAGGCCAGAGGCATAGGAACAGTGAGAGGATTCACCAGAGTCAGAGTGGGGAGCAGAACAGGCAGATCGATGAAGTATACTGCTGAGGGGAGCAGTGGGCTGGTCAGGAGAGGTCTGCCACGCCATGTGGTACACTTCCCTGTCAGGGATCGAACTCGCCTGAAGGGGCTGCTGCTCACTTGCAGTGCTGCATCCTAACTTGATGTACAACAGGGAGGGCCAGGAAGCTGTATTTTTAACAAGCTTTCCAGAGGATTTGAATTCAGGTGTTCAGGGACACAAACAAATCTAACCGCCTCGCTAGTTCAAGAACTTGAATTACCAGTAGAGGGCAATGTGAATATAAAAATTGCTCATTTCCACATTCACTAATCAACAGGAAACTAGTGAAATTGCAACATGTTTTGTTTGCCCTTCAGACAATAAGCATTTAAATCAAAATGTAATAGAAGTTAATAATTACATTGTTTTGTCAGGTGTACATGTGGTCTTAAAATCCTTCAAGGGAATGATAATAAATTGAAGTAAGTTGAATTAAATTAGTTTTTGACTGACTGGGTGGGATTTTAAATATTTAAACTTTGAAAAATTAACTCAACTTTGCCATTGTCTAAGCCACTATTGTGTAAGCACTGTCTAAGCCAGTGCTTATTAAATGAGAACTGGATGCCTTTTTTAGAGGAATAAATCAGATAAAAGTTTGTGAAAATACCTTCTAAACTCTAACATATTTATGTGTTGGTCTTATTTTCCTCCTTCAAGCTGATGTTAAATTTGAAGTGTTTAAAAAAATGTGAAATCTTTTAAGGCTAAATAATTATGGTTATTTCAGATGTAAAATATTGGTGCTGTTGACCATATAGTTATGTAATTGGAATAAAATACCTAATTTTGCAAAAGTTTAAAAAAGGCTAGGAATCGGGCCCTCCCTGGTGGTGCAGCGAGTTAAAGCATAGCACTAAGAAGCTAAAGCTGCTTCAGCATGAGTTCTATCCTCGCCCCAGAGGTGACCCACATGGCACAGCAGACCTCTCCTGACTCGCTTGCTGCTTCCCTCAGCAGTGTTCTTCATCTGTTGGCCTGTTCTGCTCCCCATTCTGTCTCTGGTGAACCTTTTCACCACCCCTGCACCTCTGGCCTGTACCCCAGTTCCGTGTGCACAAATAAATAAATCTTTAAAAAAAAAAAAAAGGCTAGGAGTGTTGCTAATGTCCATATGCTCTGAATACTTCCTTTTTGGGTGGGAGAGGAAATTTACTTATTTGTTTTTGGTTTAGGAATTTCCCCCCTCTCTCCTTTTAGGGGTGTATCATAGGGTTAATTTGAACACCTTTGTTAATGGTTTCCTTTTCTTAACACTGGAGACAGTACTCTTTCCACAGTAGACAAAACATGTGTCAAGATTTTTTTTTCAGGTCAGTATTGTTTGGTCTCATTTTTACTTTAATTAACTTTACTTAGGTTGATACGATTACTCTCAGGATCACCAAAACCTTTTGCTTAGTATATAAAGATGATGAATTGAAAACTAAAGTAAGAAAAGCTCTATAAGTTTGCTAATCAAAAACAAATGTCTGCTTGTGCTCTGGGCTTAAGCTGGCATATCTACAGAGGTCATGTGATCTAACTTGGGCATGCTGTAAATGTGTAAAACTTTAACTTGAAACCTAATGCTGAAAACAAAGCACTTTAAGTATGTATTTTGGCTATGGAATGGATAATGCCTGCCTGATTTAGAAGCAGAGGATAGTACAGGGTGGGTAATTACAATCTGCCTAGATTTTATAATCGTGATCATGTGTTTCAGCTTTATGGAATAAGGTTAAAATAATATTTAAGATATTTTTAAATCCAAAAATATAACTGAATTTTGCCTACGTATATATATTCATTTTTGTCACTTGACTTATTTTAACATAATCTCTGTCAATTCCATAACCTCTATAGCTTTAGATGAAATATTTGAAATCATAAATGCTTTCTCAGTGTTATAACTTGAATCATGTGGGGATTGGGAGAGGGAATTATTAAATCTTACTAATAACACATTTCCTTAATGTGTTTTTATATGATAAGAAATTTCTTGTGCTTAGCTATCCTGTTTTTCCCTACGTGTCATATTTGGCTTGGCTGTATTTAAATGCAGCAATAAGTGAGTGCTAACCTTTGGACATGATCCTATTCTACATATCGTCGTGCCTGATCATAGAATATGATTTTGGAAAATGAGATTTCTGCTTGGATTTAGGAAAGGAAGATAATTTTTGTCACTTTCAAATATTTCATTAATGTTCAGAACTAGTGACCTGTTACATTCATATAGGTTAAAATATAGAGTTGTTTTTTTAAACACAATTATAGTTAGTTGAGGTTTTTTTCATGTTTTACATGTATTTTTTCTTGTTAAGCATAAACAATGAAATTTCTTGTCAGTCCATTTAAATATAAGAGCAAAATACATACT